AACTTCTGGGGCGGCGACCTGCCTTCCACGCGCTGGTCCACCGTCGTCTTGCAGTCCGCCGCGGCTAGGCCGCTGGGCGATGCAGAGGTCGAGCACCCCTGCCCTGCCACAGCGCGGTCGATCGCTTCCACCTGCTGCTTGATCTCCTGCGGTGTCATCTGCGACGGCTCGACCATCTCTGCCGCTGGGGTCGGCGACGCCTCCACCAACGCCGGCGACATCGCAACTGCTGACTGTGGCGGCACTGGCCACGGTGACGGCTGCAAACACTGAGGCGTCCCTGGAGATCCCGTAACCGTAGGCGTCGGTGCTGGCGTCGCCGTCGCGGAGAAAGCGGGCCCTGCCAACTCCTCCACCTGCCCGGGCTGCACGAAGGGCTGTGTCGGCGACGTCTGGGACGGCTGCTGCGGGTACGGGATGGGGGCGTCCTCTTCCTCGATCGTCTCCCAGCCCTTGTCCGCTCCTGGCCTGTCCTTGACCATCGCCACCTTGCCGCCCTTGCCCTTGCGCGGGTGAGCGCTGCCCTTCTGCCTGTTCTCCCTCCGGTCCTCTTTCTTCTTGGTGATCCGCCTCGAGATCTCCCTCTTCGGCGATCCTGCAGGTTCGGCCGCGGACTCTGCCTCCTTCGCTCTCGGCGACTCGCACGGCTGCTGCAGGCCCCCATGCTGGTGCGAGGCTGGCGAAGGCTGGCCCGGTGGAATCGTAGATGGCGTGACTGGTGGCTTCCTGGCCGCAGGGGTCGCGGGCGCCGCCTGCAGAGCCGCTGGGCCCTGAGGTGCGCGCCCCCCCCATCCGTTCTGCCCTCCCAAGCTTGGTGCAGCGAAAGCTTGGGCCAACTCCGCTGCCGCCGTCGCTGCTGGCGTAGGTGTTGCAGCCGCCGCCGCTGGGTTCTGCATCTGGGCGAAGGTCCTGTCGCACGCGTCCGTCGGGCACGCTGAGGTTGGCACCCTGATCGTCGGAGGCTCGTCCTGAGACGGGCCGCCCGCTGGGACCTTCGGCGCGCGCAGGACGTCGCACTGCGGGGTCGGGCAACCCCAAGGCGCTATCGCAGGCGTCTCGGGCTCCAACTGCGGCTGCGCGGGCGTGAAGGGCGCCGAAGGAAACGTCGGTGACCTCTGCGCCGACTGGCTGGGGTACATCGGGTGGAACCTGGCCATCCTCAGCTGGTGCTGGTACTCCGCAGCGTCCGAGTCGGCTGGGGTCGTGCTTGGGTCCCAGAAAATCCCCGCATCCGCTGGGCTCGGTGCCTGTCGAAACCCCACACCCGCCGCATGCCACTCTGCCCGCATCTGCTCGTATATGTTCGGGCATCCAGGGGGGGTAGATGCAGCCGTAGACGTAGGCGATATGTCTGGCACCTGCCCTGCCTGCATCGGCGTCGTCGGCGATGGCTGACCCCCCATCCCTGGCTCCTGTTGCGGCACCCGCGGCCCCTGAGCTGTCCAGGAGGCAGCCTTCATCATCATGCGCACCTCGTCCATCAGGTGGCCGCGGAAGTTGCCAATGTGCCTCATCATGGCCTCCTGCTGGTTCTGCTGCAGCATCTGCGCCGCGGTCAGACGCTGGAGGCATTCCTTGATCGAGTCCATCTCCCTGGAGCTCTCTGGCACAGCTGGCGCGGCGTGGCCTTCCGCAGCTGCCTCTGACGCCGCTGAAGATGCTGATGCCTCTCTCCCAAGGCCTCCACGAGGGTTCCCATGCGCCCTGCCAACGCCCTCCTCTGCATTGTGCATCTCCGTGCCGGCGCTCTCGGCCGTGCCACCCTCGTCCTTCGACTTCGTCAGCTGGTCGATCGTCCCCTGGATGTTTCGGATGGTTTCCTCGATCTGGATGCGCCTCTCGCGCACCTCCGCCTCCTTCTGCTGTATCTCGTGCAAATGGCCCTGTTTTTTTTTCCAAGTGTATCTTGACCTCGGACTGCTAGTTCTCTGATCCTGAACTCTCCGCCAACATGTATTTGAGCACAGCTATCTCCTTGCAGTCCGCGTCGTTCGCACGGCGATCCGCTGCGGCAGCAGCCTTGATGAGGATGCCGATATTGCGAATCTTCTCTTTGATATATTTGCGATGTTTGTTCACTGCATCCTTCTGCTCTGCCGGGGGCGCCTTCACGTATACATGCTTGAAGGCCTCCGCCCTCGCCACCTCTGGGGTAGCTGGCGCAATCTTCGCCACGAGCTGATTCACAGTATCCTTGTCGCCTTTGTTCCAGGGGTCTCTGCTCTTGGACCTCCCCCTTGACTGCATGGGCTGCGACTTGGAGCGCGAGCACCAATTGTACCTGCATCCGCATACTGCCTGAGAAACTGGAAGATGTGTGTGACATGAGGGACACTGCCACGTCCGATCTCTTGGGGTTGCGTGATGGCTGCGCAACGCTAGACCTGCCTTGTACACCCTCAGCAACGCTCTGTTCCGTGCCCGCTCGGCGCGCAACCGCCTATGCTTGGAATCGCCAACTAAGGGAATCTTGTACGCGGCCACGGCAGTGGCGCCGCCTAGGGTTTGAAGACAAAAAGGTGTGCAGGTACCTCCTCAGCCGAAACCCTCTCCTCCCCCTCCTCCTCCTCCTCCTCCTGCTCCTCCTCCTTTTTACGTTAGACCAACGTAAGGAACGAGCCTGTCGCGTTGAAGCCTCGTCCTCCTCCGCCTCCTCCTCCTCCTCCTCCTCCTCCTCCGCCTCCCCATCCTCCTCATCCTCGTCCTCATCCTCCGCCTCCTTCTCCACCCACTCATTATCATAAGCGTCAAAATCATCACCATCAGCATCATCATCATCATCAGCCATCAGCATCATCATCATCAGCATCAGCATCGTCATCATCATCGTCACCAATACCATCGTCATCATCATCCTCATAATCAGCGTCATCATTATCACCATCATTCGCATCATCCTCATCATGAACATCATCATCATCAGCATCATCATCACCGTCATCGTCATCAGCACCATCATCATCCTCATCGTCATCATCCTCATCAGCATCCGCATCATCAACATCAACATCAGCATCATTAGTATCATCCGCATCATCACCCTCAGCATCATCAGCTCAGCATCATCAACAGCATCATCGCCTCATCCTCATCATCGTAATGGTCATCAGCATCGTTATCAGCATCATCGTTATCGACACCAATATCATGACCGTGATCATTATCGAACCCATCACCATCACCAAGCATCACCTGGAGCAGCCTCATCATACCCAGCATCATCATCACCGTCATCAACATCAGCATCATCATCTTCATCATTATCGTCAGCATCAGCATCAGCAGCATAATCAGCATCATCATCAGAATTAGCATCATCGCTGTCCTAGGTTTCGTCATCGCCCTGGACGTCGGCAGCATCAGCATCATGATCAGAAGCAGCATGCAAGAAACTTCATAATCGTAACCATCATCAGCATGAGCATCATCGCCATCATCATCATTAGCATCATCAACATCATCTTCATCATCAGCATCATCATCGCCATCATCATTATCATCATCAGCATCATCACCATCATCATCCTAAGCATCATCATTATAAGCAGCATCATCGGCATCATCACATCATCAATATGATCAGCATCATCATTATCATTATCATAATCATGATCATCTTCGGCATCATCATCATCATCATCATCATCACCATCATCAATCATCACCAGCACCAGCATCATCATGTACACAATCATCCGACACAGCATCATCAGCATCACCATGACCAGCACCATCATCAACATCATCATCATCAGTATTATCATCATCATCATCATCATCATCATCATCATCATATCTACATCCTCATCATCATCTTCATCATCATCCTGGCCCTCACCCTCACCACCACCATCATCATCATCACCATCATCATCATCATCATCATAATCATCGTCATCATTAGTATTATTATTGTTATTCATAGTAGTATTAGTTGTATGTTGATTAGTATTACGATTATTAGTCTTATCATTAGTGATAGTAGTAGTAGTAGTAGTAGTAGTAGTAGTAGTAGTAGTAGCCGTAGTAGTAGTAGTAGTAGTAGTAGTAGTAGTAGTAGTAGTAGTAGTAGTAGTAGTAGTAGTAGTAGTAGTAGTAGTAGTAGTAGTAGTAGTAGTAGTAGTAGTCGTAGTAGTAGTAGTAGTAGTAATAGTAGTATCATCATCATCATCATCGACATCATCATCATCATCATCATCATCATCATCATCATCATCATCATCATCATCGGCATTCTCATCAGCAGCAGCAGCGTCGTCGCCATCATCGTCGTCATTAACATCGTCATCGATCGAAACTTCCCTCCCTCTGTCCCTTCCTCGCGGAACCTCGGCTGCGCATCTAAACGGCACGCTCCGTCCGTGAGTTGGTCACGTCTCCGCATTCAGGAAGAAGCGTCAGACAGGACCTCCGACCGACGCCGTGCTTTTCAGCACCTGACCCCTGTAGCATTCGACACCCTCGTTGGGACTGGCTCTCGCCCCGGACCCTCAGCGGCAACGCATCGGGTACCATACTCACTGGCGGGTGCTTTGAAAAACCGCCAAGAGCTGCCACTTCCAGGGCCCCTTTCGGACATCGCAGCGCTGCCCACATCGGGAAAGCGGTGGGTGCGCCAGGTCGGTGGCCGAAGTGCCCGTCAGAGGAGGGCGAGGAGACGAGGAGGAGACGGCGACGACGACAACAACGACGACGACGATGATGACGTCCACGGCGACGGCCACGGCGACCGAGGCGGCGGCGGGCACGACGACGACGACGTCGACGACGACGACGGCGCCGACGCCGACGCCGAAGCCGACGCCGACGCCGACGTCGACGCCGACGCCAACGCCGACACCGACGTCGACGCCGACGTCGACGCCGACGACGACGACGACGAGGACGACGACGACACCGACGACGACGACGCCGACGCCGACGCCGACGACAACGACGCCGACGGCGACGGCGACGGCGACGGCGACGACAACGGCGGCGGCGTCGGCGGCGGCACACGCCTGGCAGCTCCCGGACGGCCGACTTCTTCTGGGACGTCCGCGCCTCGGCCGCGCGAGCGTTCAGCACGAACGCCTCGCGCGCCATGGCGCCTGCGGCCGCCGCGGCCTCCTGGAGGAGGACGACGTCTGTACACCTATACCAGCCCTGGCCGGGCCCATCCTGGACCCAGGATCGGTGCCTGTGCCCTCCTGGCCTGGCCCGGCGGGAGGCGTAGACCCAGACCCCCGAGGTCGTGACTTCTGCGCAGCGTCGAACCCCAGAGACCTCGACCGCTCCACTGGGGCCGACTTCTCGTCCCGTGCCTGCGATTGCTGGTCCCGGGGCCCGGTGAAGCCCCCCCCCCCGAAGGGCCGAAAACGGTCCCAAACCACCGCCGTGCAAGGCTCTCTGTAGCACACCAGCCCTGGGGCCCGGGAGAACGGCCCCTGCCAGGATCGGCGTCGGCGGTCACAGCCAGAGGCCCCCCTCCGATCCTGCGCAACCTGCGCCTGCTCGGCGGCGTCCCGCGCCGCCTGGCCGACGGGGTGCCCCGTCGGCGGCTCACCGCCGGCGGCGGTACCGAGCGGCCGAGGCTCCGGGCGCGCGGGCGCGCCAGGCGGGTCCGCGGGCGCGGCGGGCCCCCGCCGGTGGCGCAGCACGGCGGAGTAGGCCTGCTGTATCTCCTGGAAGCGCTCCTGCAGCCGGGTGCTGCCAGAGGCGCCCCCTGGCCTGGGCGAAGGTGTCCCCTTCCATGAGGAGAGACCCTTGCCGGCCTCCACGCCTCGCGAGGCCCGGAGGGCCCCGAAGCGGGGGTCCAAGAAGGGGCGAGAGGCTAGGGACACACCTGGCCACTGGGGCACCTTTAGCTATCAACCCCCGATCCTTGTTACCGACGCCCGCCTTGTCCGGGTGCTCTCTCCTAGCGAGCTCCCGGTACGCCTTCTTGACCTCCTGTTATCAGAGGAACAACAGCAAAAACATGAGCACAAACTGTCGTGGGTCCGCGAGGCTTTCTTGGGTCGGCGCTGAGGGCGCCAGCATGGGCCCCAGCGCCGATCCAAGAAAATCGCGCGGACCTCCGAAAATGTATGGTCGTGTTGTTTCGACATGATTATCATTGTCTTTCTCGACTCCTCCGCGGTGGCGTTCGGGCCGTCCAGGCCGAGCACCAAGTAGGAGTCGCACTCCTCCGCGAGCCTGGCGACAGACTTCAGCTTGTCGCGCTGCTGCACCAGGCGCATCAGGTAGGCCTCCATGGCGCGGTTGGCCACCCGCAGCGCGTCCAGCGACATCGCCTGGGCGCTTCGCTCGCGCTCCTCGGCCGGGCGCGTCAGCTCGCGCAGCACCCGCTGGTCGCTCCACGCCGCCTGCCCGGCGCTGCTGCTCTGGCCGACCAGCCGGCTGGGCCCCGCCGGCGTCTGGTCGCGGTCGGGCGCACCGCCGAACTCCAGGCGCGCCAACTCCAACCACACCTGGGTGCGCATGTACTCCTCCGAGCAGCGGGGCCCGGGCTCGCCGCGGGGCCTGTCGCCCACCAGCGCGCGCACCCCGGCGGACTGGGCCTGCATGGCGCGCTGCCGCAGGGACAGGTTCACCTGCTCCATGGGCAGGCCGCCCAGGAGGCCCTCGGCGCCCCCGGCGGCGCCATTCGGCAGCAGCTCCTGCAGCGAGGCCCTGAGGGCTTCCTGCACCACCTGCGCCGGCTTCTTGCCGAACACTTCGCCGCACAGCCAGCCGCCTTCCCAGTCGCCCCAGGCCTCCAGCGGCAAGCCCGAGAGCAGGTTCAGCACGGCGCCCCGCCGGAGGTCGGACATGATCACCTGCTCGTGCTCCAGCGGGGAGATGAGCAAGGTCACGGCCGTGTCGTGCTCCAGGACCAGCTGGCAATGGCGGCCGCCGATCTGCCCAGACGCCCAGCGCTGTACGGCCACCCGTGACCGCGGGGCCAACTTGCTCCACTCCAGCTTGGAGACCTCCGACGGGGCCAGTTTCACCCTCGCGGCTGGGCTCGACTTGGAGCCATTGGAGCCCGCCGCAGGCGGGCCCGCCAGGCTGCGCCTCGAGGTGACCCTCGGCGGCGCCTCCGCGGCCCCGCCCCCCCGCGCGCAGCGCCCAGAACCCACTGCTGGCGAGGGATCCTTCGGCGCCCCCGGAGCGGCCGGCGCCGCGGCGCCCCACTGGCGGAGCACCTCCACGCCGCCGCCGCCGCCATCGCAGAACCTCTGTCGCCGTCGCCGCCGCCTCCGCCGCCGCTTGTCAGCCGCCGTCGCCGCTGCCGTCGCCAGTCGCAAGTCGCCGTCGACACTGCCGGATCGTCGGTCGTCGGTCGCCGCTGCCGCGGGCCATCGGTCGGTCGTCGCCGCCGCCAGCCGCCGCCGCCGCCAACGGCCCGCGCCGCGAGCCCGGCGTGCCCCACTGGCGGGGCGCCTCAAGGCGGCCGCCCATCTGCACCGCGCCGAGGCTGGAGGCGGCCGCGCGGTCGCCCGGAGCGGGCGCGACCAGCTCCAGCTCAAGCTCCTCGGCGACGACGACGAAGACGAACGACGACGACAACGACGACGACGACGACGACGACGACGACGACGACGACGACGACGACGACGGCGGCGACGGCGACGGCGACGACGACGACGACGACGACGACGGCTTCGGCGGCGTTGGCGGCGGCGTTGGCCAGGCGGCGGACCTCTCTGGCGGCGGAAGCTGCGGCGGGGGGGGCATGGCCGCGCGGTCGGCGGCCGTTTTCAAGATCTGACTCTCGCGCCCCTGCGCCGCGTACCCCGCCCCGAAGGGCGGCCGGCTTAGCTACACACTCCCGCTAGCACCGCGTAGTGCAAAGGCCTCCAACGGTTGCGTGCACGGATAGAGGGCGGTCTCCGTTCTCAAAATCGAGCCTTTGCCGAGCGCCGCGCCCATTGACCTTAAAAACTGCTGACGGCTACACGGGTGGATGGCCATACCTTTTCCAAAATTCGGCACTCGCCCTAGCACCGCGCGCATTCGCACTACAAGTTCCAAGTAACAACTCGTTCAAATCCATGGAAACAGTTCGGCACATTTCCGAAATATGGTCCCCGCTGACGCGCCCTTACGTGTTCGGATCCGGAACATTGATTCCCACATTTTTTTAAGGCAGTGCTTTTCAAAATCGTGCTACTGACTGGGTTCTACAGTTGGGCATCCCACGAGGCTTGGGCGCAAGAGCAGATCAACTCTTCGGAAGGAATGGGTATATTTGCCACTGTCCCCAGGGCCCGAAGATACCCAGATCCACCGCCTGTCGAGGCCCCCGAAGAGCGATCCCGCGCGCGATGGATACTGTGGATAAGTGCCCGCCGCAGGCTCTCCCTATCCCTGCGCCCCCATCACAGGCCTCCTCTTCGCCTCGGCCAATTGCCTCGGCCAGTGGCTGCCGCGGCCGACAGCCACCGATGGCGGTACGGGCGAAGACGTCTGACAACTCGGGGTCGGCTGAGTTTTGTAATTGTGCAGCATTTTGCCCCGTTTTTCCAACCCCACCAACTTTTCAGCCAGACGAAGCCAGGACGAAGATACAAAGTGGACCCAGATAGATTGGACATCTTGGAGACCTGGCAGACCTGGGGGAACTATCGGGCGCCACGGCCGTTCCAGAGAATGGCTCTGGAGCGACGAGAGAACGCGTTTCACGGGCGCTCGCCTTGGGAACATTCGGCGGCGCGTTTCGAAGCGGGGGGTGGGCCCCCCTCCAACACTCGGCGCCGTTGATCAAAACCAGGGGGACTCCCCTCCCCCCAACCCCCCCCCCTCCCAGACCCCCCCCCTCCTTGGCGCTGGCGCCGGCGCTGGCGGCCGCCAGCAGCGCCCACGGCGGGGACGCAGCGACGATGACCAGAGGCAGCCCAGGGGGGGGGGTGGGGCTCGACCACCCCCCCTCCTTTGCGCCGGCGCAAGGCACTGGCGGCGGCCAGCAGCACCGGCGCTGGCTCCGGCGACAGCGGGGACGCAGCGACACTTACCACCACTACAACCACCACCACAACTACCACCACCACCGCCGCCTCAACCCACCACCACCACCACCAACAGAACCACACAACACAGCCACCACCACCACAACCACCACCACAACTCACCATCACCACCACCACCACAAAAACACATCACCTTTACCACCACCACCACAACAATCTACTACACCACCACCACCGCCACAACCACCACCACTACCAGCAGCACAACCCACCACCACCACCACCACCACCACCACCCGACGATGACCACCGACACCACCGCCTCAACCCACCACCACCACCACCACCACCACCAACAACAACAACAACAGCACCACACAACCACCACCACCACCACCGCAGCCACCACCACCACCACCCGACGATGACCACCGACACCACCGCCTCAACCCACCACCACCACCACCACCACCAACAACAACAACAGCACCACACAACCACCACCACCACCACCACCGCAGCCACCACCACCACAACCACCACCACAACTCACCATCACCAGAACCACCACAAAAACCCACCACCGCCGCCACCACCACCACAATCTACCACACCACCACCACCGACACAACCACCACCACTACCAGCAGCACAACCCACCACCACCACAAACCACAACACCACCACCACCACCACCACTACGAACGGCCACCACCACCACCACAACACACGTCCACAAACACCCGCCACCACCACAACCCACCACCACCACCACAAACCACCACCACCACACCACCACAACCACGACCACCACGAAAACCCACCACCACCACCATCACCGCCACACTCTACCACAACACCACCACCACCGCCACAACCACCACCACTACCAGCAGCACAACCCACCACCACCACCACCACAAACCACCACACAACCACCACCACCACCGCCACCACCGCCGCCACCACCACCACCTTCACAAACCACCGCCGCAACCACAACCCACTACCACCACCACAACTCACCATCACCACACCACCACCAAACCGCCACCACTACCACCAGTACAACCCACCACCACCACCACCACCACCACCACCACAAACCACCACCACACCACCACCAAACCACCACCACAACCACCACCACCACCCACCGCCACACCCACAACCACCACAACAAGCCACCAAACCACCACCACAACCACCACCACCGCCACCACAACCTCCACCACAACCCACCACCACCACCACCACCGTCGTCCTCGTCGACGCTCCCCGCCACCGCCGCCCTGCAGGCGCCGGCGCCGGCCCAGAAATTGAAATCGTCGTCCCCGCCGCCGTCGCCAGCCGCCGCCGACACAAGCGCTGGCCCCCGTCACGGGAGGGGGGTTGGGGGGGGGTTCGAACCCCCCCCCTCCATCCAGGGGGGGGTCCGGTTTCAATACCCCCCCCCTCCAAGCGACCACAGGACGCGCTCTTTCGAAGCGACTGACCCTCGTCCGTGGACTCCCCGAACATGGAACGCTCCAAAAATCGGGCGACGTCAGCTGACCGCCTCCCTGATCCTGGTGAGTCCGATCCTGCGTCTGTCTGACTCTGACTCAGGGCGCCCAGTGGCCATGGGTATGATGTAGAATCTCTGACCGCGGGCCTCCGCGGGTTTTCCAACCCCCGCCAGAGGGGGTTTACCGCTGCCCCTTCATGCGTCGCAACACTCCCCCCTCTCGCTCGACAGACTGAAGGTGCATTGTGGCGCGCTGGCCGCCCCTCGCCAGCCGAGCACGGGCGGACGATCCAGGGCAGAAAACCCTCGCAAGGCAAAATCTCGGATCTGAGGATTTGGGGGGTCTCTCGGGAACCTTCTGAAACTTCCGTGGGGGCCAGCTGGGGCCCTGCTGGTGCCCTCTCGGGGCTGGGACATTCCTTGGGACATGCACAAACATCCTTTTTCAGTCTGGCCTCAATTTTCTGATGGCTTGGCGGGGGGGACTTGAAGGGGCCCTCTTAGGGCTATCTTGGGGTGCTCCTTGGGGCCCTTGCGGCAACCTAGAAAAAAGTCCTTCTGGGCCCCTCTGGGGGCGCTCACGGGCCCTCTTGGGCCATCTTTGAACCAACTTGACGCCACAGAGGCCCATCGGAAGCCGCAAAGGCGAGACACCAAACGCTGACAAAGCCCAGTGGCTTTCGCTTTTCCGCCAATCTTAACTTTTGGATGTTTCCCTGGCACGCTCCGGGCCCATCAGGGCCTCGCAGACAGGAGCTGTCTGGTAAACCATGATGATGGCGCGCCCGAGAAAACTGCAGCCATCGGTGGAAATATTCTCGATTCTTAGTTC